TCTGGATTCACCTTAACATTTCTAAAATTATTGCAAAATACTCATATGAACTCAGACTGAGGAAGGTAACAGGTCTCTGTTAGAAGTAGGGAATTGTGCTATGTGAGATTTGGGGAGATTAATGTCTCAAGACATGTTTTTTTCTGGAATGTAAACTACTGGAAGGACAGTATAATATGGTGGTTAAGAGCGCAAAGTCTGAATAGAGACTATTAGGGTTCAAATTCAGCTGTAGCATTTGCTATCTGTAGGACATTGCGCAAATTATCCTCTGTGTAACTCATTCTCTTTTATAAAAAGAGATTATAATAACGTCTCTCTCTCTCTCTCTCTCTCTCTGGATTGTTAAGAATTTTAAATGAATTGCTATATGCAAAGTATCTAGGACAGTGTCACAAAATAAGTGCTATATAAGCTGAGATAGACTAGCTGTACTGAAGCCATATTGAATGTAAAGATCTCTCATTACTCAGCTGTGTTTGTTCTTGTTTCAAATGCTTACAGACCTTGAAGTTTTGAAACATTAAACAATATTTTACTAAGTTCAAAGTAATGGGTAGCTTAAGTACCAGTGACTACTGGTGTCAATCACTGGTGGCTGGCATGTGTGTGTGTATGTACACATATATTTGCATGACTTGGGAATAGAGTGTGGTCTGTGTGCTCCCAGAAAAGCAGGGGTCTAAATCTGTAGAATTAAGGGATCCCAGTAAAAGCACCATCCTGTAGTTATTCTGCTACCCCAGGGATTCCCCTAGTGCTACACATTCCCCAGATGGCAAAGCCAACCATGTCTACTCCTCTTTTATTACCAGGAAGGCTCTGTTCTTCTGTGAATTTCCTTTCCATTCATTTCCAAATGAGTTTTCTGATATGAGCATTGTTGAATATGCACAAGAAAGAGCAAGATAGAGGCAGCGGTATGAGTGTGGCTAGATTTGCATAAGTATAAATACAGTATATGTATCCATATTTAAATGATATAATGATAATATTGTGTTGCCATCTCAGAATGAAAGCTAATTAATTCGGCTATTGAGATGATAATGATTTCTTTCTCAGTTAATACCAGAGTTTAAAAAACACACACACACACACACAAAAAAAAAAAAAAAAAAAAAAAAAAACCCTGCAGAATTGTTCTATGCACCATTCCTTTGACTCATCTTGGAATAAGGAGTTTTGTTCTGTTAACTATTGAGCTGTCTATCAGTATCTATGACAGTTTTAAAGGGAATCATTCCTGGGAGGAGCTGAAGTTTAGTACGTGGAAGACTGAATCATGAAGGTTAGGTTGTTCACTGAGCTCATGATTTGATACAAGGGAAAATGGGTCTCTTTTTTCAGCCTCTTTTAAAATGCATTCTTTGGTATTTGCACTGTCAGTATCAATCCTGATCTGAAGCACAAAGTCTTTTTTTAGACTTTATTTGGCTGGATTTGACATTTAAGAAAACGTTATACCTCTCTCCTACTGAAATTTACACCAGCTGACAAATTCACAAGCAAGTCTATGACTTTTTTAACCTTGACATGTCTAACTTTTCTTCAGCCTCTGTTTTCATAGTAAGTTACTCAAGTCTAGAGTGTTCTCTCCGTGTTTTGCTTTCTATTCTCTCCCAATCCAGTTCAGGCATCTATCACCTCTTAGCTCATGATGGTAGTCATCCTGACTTCCTAGTCTCCTCTCTCCAAGCTTTCTAGCTTCAGGGATTCTTCCCTGCTTGCAGGTTAGGTTATACCTCCCTGTCCATCTCTTTAATGACTGCTCTCTGTTCGGTGAAGACTCAACTCCTTTGCTTGGCCTTTAAGAGAATTTAATCACATTATTTCCCCTTACATCCTCTAACCATCTCTCACTAGTGCCTCCCCACTCTACCCTTCTACCATGTTCCAAGTTCCTTGGAATTTCTGAAACACTCTTACTTTGCCCATTTCCCAGAATGTCTTTTCTCCCCCTTGGTCCATGTTTCAAAGTCCCACTTATTCTCCAAGGCCTTTCTCAAATCCCTACTTCTCTGATTCCCCCTACTTGGAATTAATTAGGGTTACTTTAAGCCCATGTAATGCCTTTTCTCCAGACACTTATTTTTCAGTGTTGGGAAATCATCATATTATACTTACTTTATCATAGCAATTTTTTTGCCTGCTTCTGAAAAGTTGTCATGATAAATATGCAAATTTCTATGTAATTTGCAATGTAATTGCTGCCCCTCTTCCCTAAACACGACACAACCTTTACAAGCATAAGTCATGCCACTGAAATAATCACTTTTGCTTCCATAGGTCAATAATTTATTATTTAATTGGTTATCTAATCAGTCTATCTTGTATTATGCTGTGAATTTACTTCTTCATCATCCCACTAAGTTGGAATCTGAAGATAGCAATGTCTTATTCATCTTGTTATCTCCCAGGTCAGAGCATGTGTTAACTTTCTCTTATGACCCAAGGGAGGCAATCTTAGTAGACTTGTTAGGAGTATGAACTTTAGAGTATGACTTCCTGGGTTTGAACCCTCCCAGTCCACTCATTAAACGTGATCATGACCAAGGAATTTATTAACTTCTTTGTACCTTTTTTCCTTCATTTATAATATGGGAGGATGTAATATCATCTTCATCATAAAATTTATATAAAAATTAAATACCAAAATGGAGGTAAAGTGGCCAGAACAATAGCTAGTAAATACTTAATAAATGTTAGAAATTATTCTAACAGTCTGCTAAAATATGAGGTACTCTTGTCTGAGTTATGACATGAAGACACTTGTTGCTACATTCAATAGCGAGCCCATCTTGTAGAAATTTCACAGTGGATATTCAAGGACCAGTTAAACATCTCACTTATTTTGAGGATAAAAATAAATCAGCAGTTGGAAATTATAGGAAGGTCTTATAATATTTTTTTAAGACAGAGAGAGAGAATTTTTTAATATTTATTTTTTAGTTTTCGGTGGACACAACATCTTTATTTTATTTTTATGTGGTGCTGAGGATGGAACCCAGCACCCCGCGCATGCCAGGTGAGCGCGCTACCACTTGAGCCACATCCACAGCCCCTCTTAAAATATTTTGAAGCATGCAATTAGTGTTCTATGAATCTTTCATCCCCGTAGCAAAGGTGCCACAACTGGTATGTATAGTACCTTTGTGAGAATTAGAAAAATGTATCCCTTCCTCGGTAAAATATATACGTAAAGACATCCTGCTTCCCCAGGCCCAGAGAAAGTATCTACAACAGGATCATTTGAGGATATTGTTGCATCCCTCCTGAAACTGAGGGATGTAAGGGTTGGTGTCTATCATTTATCTGGGAAATTGAAAGGCAGGTGGCTGACCATTTATGGATAAGTGGGAGAGCTTTATCTGTTCCATAGAGTTTGTTGGGTCAGAGAAAGTCAGCATTAGATTATCATAAGTCCATGCCAAGAGTACCACAGAGTTAGGCCTCAGTATAACCAGTGTGGAGTGAACTGCCAAATTGCTAGATCCTGGAGAAGGGAATACAAGCCGTGGGACAGAATAGAAATTTATTTGCTCTGATCAAGGAAGTACCGAAGAAAGCATCCCAATGATAGAAGGAGCTCTTTAGAGAACCCAACCCAAGGAAGAAGAATCAACTTTAAAACTTGTTAAGGATAACCAGCTTATGACACTACAGTACTTCCCACCCTCCACAGATGATATATGTTCCACGACCCCCAATAGATGCCTGAAAACATGGATAGTACCAGACTCTATGTGCACTCTGCATAACAGGCCTGTGGTAAAGTTCAATTTATAAATTGGGCATAGGAAGGTATTGCCAACAATAACTAATAATAAAATATAACAATTGTAACAATATCCTGTAATAAAAGTTAAGTGAATGTAGTCTCTTTCTCAAATGCCACTGGGTGGGGGTAGTATATAGGGTGGATATGATAGCCAAGGGCTGAGTCACATACTGAGTGGCATGAAATGAAACTGCAAGATTTCATCACACCACTCAGAACAGCATGCGATCTGAAACTTGTGAGTTGTTTATTTCTGAAATTTTCCACTAATACTTTCAGACCTCGGTTGATCACGGGTAACCAAAACCTCAGGAAGTGAAACTGGGGATAAGAGTACAGGACTGTGTACCAAGCAATTAAGCATTTTCCTGTCACTTCTCCCTTGCCTCCCACAATCTTCTCTCTCTTCACCAATCCCCCCGACACTGGAGGTGTCAGAAACTGTGGTTAACCAGATAGAGGAGAATAGGAGAAGTGGGACATGGGGAAAAGGAGAAGCAAGCGATGAAGCTAGTCACACTCCTTTTCTGACTCTACCCATCTTAACCGTAACAGGCTGAAGCTGTGCTCCAGTTTCTCAGGGGAGACGTTTGCTTTTAAATCAAGGTTGGCATTTTTATTATGATGACAGATTGGCAACATAGTAACATGAATCTAACTTTCTCCCTAACTGCTTGATAAACACCAAAACACTTTCCCAGACTTGGATCATTGCTCTCTTCCTGTCCTGACTTCTCCATCCAAGACTGACCATTCTCTGTGTCTGCTGGGCCCCAGCATAGCCTTCAGGTAGAACCTGTGCAATGCATAATTTCGTGTGTTTAATTGTGGGTATGTCTTTGCTTTCAGTCAACCTTTACACTCTTGGAATTGAGGGATGAATTTTTTTGCTTAGAGAGCACAAGTACCAACACTCGCTGGCATAAAATTGTCCCTCAATAAAGATCTATGAAAGTAATTCATCATGCCTAACGAACTGGTAGTTTTCTAAGGGAGACTATAATTCAAACTTGTTTTTATCTTTTTGAGAGGTAAATTAAAAAACAGCAACCTTCTTAACACGGTGTAATTGAAAGTACCTTTTGTTATAGGGGTACTCAAGGAGTGCCTGGGTGCTGGCTCTCCAGCAGCTCATGAGAAAACATTCTGGCATCTCTGGCTCCAGATGTGTTTTCCTGAGTGGTTAGGGACCTTTTGACATTCTTCAGTGTTTCTTCCACAGGTTTCTTCAGGAGAAGCATTACCAAAAATGCTGTGTACAAGTGTAAAAACGGGGGCAACTGTGTGATGGATATGTACATGCGAAGGAAGTGCCAGGAATGTCGGCTAAGGAAGTGCAAAGAGATGGGAATGTTGGCTGAATGTATGTATACAGGTATTCACTTCAAGCAATTAACTTCCACTAAAAATCTCTTAAGGAGGCAGATGCCAGGTAAAAATCATATYGCAAGAATGATACTTCACATAATAAAGAGGGGATCTGCTGAGCCATTTAAGTTCTTGAAAAGGGTCATGAACCACTGAAATTGTCCAAACTGTCATCTAAAGAGCATCTTGTTCACCTGAAAGAAATGACTGTTGTTTGTTGTTCTTTGTTGTAAGGAACTATACATGGAGTGAAGTGTCTCTAACATGCAGTTAAAATAACATGCTTTAATATGCTACAAAGAATGACAGTCTGAAAGTCTCCTCCAAATTTGATTTTAATCTACTCCTTATTTACTACTTAATTAACATAAAATGTATAGTTGTGGGAAAAAAGTAAGAATGCTTCATAGGATATAGCCACCTCTGAATGGTCTAAATAGAGTTTTAAACCAAGTCATTTTATTAAGAATCCATTTTCTCCTAGTGCAGCTTTGAACCAATTTGTATAGGTTTACACAGGAAATTAACTACCCTGAGTTTTAATATAATTTTGTCCTTCAATCTGATAAAGAGACACTGTATTAACTGCTGGCTTTGTGAGGGACCGCGATCTTCATCAAAAACTGGAATGCATGTTAGTATATAACATAATTAATTTTTCATTCTGCAAATGCTACAGAGCACTCAGATTCTGAGATATGTCCTGTTTCTCCTCAAAACACAAATAGACAAACAAATGTCACCAAGGGGACGATGGCATTCAGGGAGAGAATGCCACATGAAATAAAAGCCTGTGGAAGGTGACTCCAGTTCTATTGTTCCCAAATAGTACAGGCAACTGGGATGGACCCAGAAAAATAATGTATGCAGGAGAAGGGAAAATAGGTCTGTGTAAATAATCCAGCTCTAGGTGGATGAAAGTTTTATAGTGGCTGATGCCAATCTTATTTTAGCATACATGAAACAAGATCCTGAACAGGGGCTGCTGCTGGAATCCAATCTTGCAATGGAAATAGTTTGATACTGCGTGGTTCATGTTGCTCATCACTTAAATATGAACTTGTTCCAGTTGAAGCTCCAAAGACATTTTGCATGAGTCCCTCTATAAAAGTCTATAATAACATTTATGAACACAAACTTTTTTTCAGTAACAGATATAGATATTTCATAAATCTATAAAATAAATTTCCTGCACAAAGAACATTCTGGAACTTCATTTTCATTAACACTGAGAGAAGAGTAAATAAACTTAAGTGTGAACATGGAAGATTGTTCTACATTATTTTTTATAGCTTTGTTTAAGTGTAAGTCAGTGATGATATTGTGTGAGCATTTAAAGCAATTTTTTTTTTTTTCAGGCATCTTGCTTGATAGATTTCCATCACAATAAAAAGTRCTTGAGATCATTTAACTTCTAAAGAGAAAAGGCTTATTTTGGGTCACAGTTTTGGAGGTTCCAGTTCATGATCTGTGGGACTCATTGCTTTTAGGCCTCTGGTTGGGGTATGCAATGGCAGCAGTGGAGAGGCAGGCGGAGGAAATTGCTCACCTCRTGACCAGAAATCAAAAGAGAGAAAGGGAGGAAAGGGCCCCACAAGCCCCCTTGACGGCTCACTCCCAATACCCTAAGCACCTTCCTCTGGGCCCCACTTCCTAAGGGTTCCACTGCCTCCCAAGGGCACATACTAGAGACCCCCCAGCCTTTAACACCTGGGTCTTCTGGGGACATTTAACACCCAAACTATAGCATTTCTTGAGTTATTTTAATATTTAACTATAATTTCAATAATTTATATAGCTATAGAAATCGATAAGATTTTGTTTTCCTAAAGGATGTTAATATTTGTTTTACTCAACAAGTTTAAATGTGAAAACAAATATACTTCTTATGGCAGAGTATATAACATGTACCAAAATAATATTAATCTTATGTTTTGAATTAAGGGCTTTCCAGATCCCCTAGATTAGGAACCGGGAGATTGTCATTCACCTTTTTATTGATCGTCTTGCATTGTATATAATGCTTTAATATCACAAATTCTTTATATAAAAGCCATCATTAAAAAATGATTTGATTAGATTTAATCTATAAAAAAAAATCCGAGGTAGATATTATTTGCATTTTACAGATGAAGAAATTGAGATTCACAGAGGTTAAACTTCTTATTCAAGGTCAAGTCTTTAAATCTCAGCCTTCTCTTTTTAAATATCTGAAGAGCTGGAATTAGTTTCTTGCCAAGTTGCACAGATTGTCTGAGCCAACCATGCAACTATTTCATGACCACACACCTAACAGAACTTTCTGTGATTGATAAAGTCCCTACGTTCATTTTTTTCAGGCTTGTTAACTGAAATTCAGTGTAAATCTAAACGACTGAGAAAAAATGTGAAGCAGTATGCAGATCAGACCATTAATGAGGACAGCGAAGGACGGGACTTGCGACAAGTGACCTCAACGACTAAGTCATGCAGGGTAATAACATGCAGTGGTGTCTGCCAAAGCCAGCAGAAGCCTAGTGATCTGGCTGGGAGACTCAGATTAGAGCCATAGCCACAGCAGAATTCCCATTTCCATTTTGCATCAAAATGGATCCCTTCTTTTGTTTTTAATCAAGAGAAAAATACATGCTTTGTTGAAAAAATTCAAGTAACAGCAATGTATAAGGTGAAAAGTGAAAATTTTTATCCTGAAAAGGGCCAAAGAGAATTTCGTCCATTTTTAAAAATTTTTTTAGTTGTAGTTGGACACAATACCTTTATTTTATTCATATATTTTTATGAGGTGCTAAGGATCGAACCCAGGGTCTTGCACGTGCAAGGTGAGCGCTCTACCGCTGAGCCACAACCCCAGCCCCAATTTCGTCCATTTTTACTTTTTAAAAATATATTATCTTGTATTCATTTTGGAAAAAAATAATTTTATAGAAAAATATTTTTTTTTAAATTTTTTTTAAATATTTATTTTTTAGTTATAGGTGGAAACAATATCAATATTTTATTTTTATGTGGTAATGAGGATTGAACCCAGTGCCTCACGCATGCTAGGTGAGCGCTCAACCTCTGAGCCACAACCCCAGCCCCCCAAAATATTATTCTTCCCTAGTGTTTCATCAGCAACACTTTTTGGTATAAGGAAACAAAGAATTGACCAATTATTCATATTCCTTAAAAGATGCTATCAGGAGGGAAAGAAATGTTTGAGATCTGAATTGTCCTGATTGACAACTCTCTGTTTTGGGGCTCAGCAAACCTTTCCCCCCCTGTTAAGTGCCAGATTATTTGAGGATTTTGTCACATGGTCTCTATCACAACTATTTGACTCTTCCATTTTAGTGCAAAACCAGCATAGACAATATATCAACAAAACAGCGTGGCCATGTTTCAATAAAACTTTATTTACCAAAGTAGGTAGTTTGGTCCATAAGCCAGTTTGTCAACCTCTGCATATAGAATAATATGCTTAGCTGGAGTCTCCATTTTACATGCAGGAACATTTTCTTACTTTTGATTAAACCTTGAACTTCTCCTGACCTTCAATGTGAAGGGGCTTAATAGGTTTTCATGTGTATTTTTTTTTTTTTTTTTTTTTTTTTTTTTTTTTTAAATATTTATTTCTTAGTTCTCGGCGGACACAACATCTTTGTTGGTATGTGGTGCTGAGGATCGAACCCGGGCCGCACGCATGCCAGGCGAGCGCGCTACAGTTTGAGCCACATCCCCAGCCCTATTAGTTACTCTTAAGAAATACATGAAAAGCATATTTTGTTATACATGTTTTCTAGATGGGAAAAAGAGTAACTTGAAACAAATGTAAGGAAGAATGATATTGCCTGCCCCAAGACCCACAAAAAGCTCTTAATTACACACTATATTAAGCTTCATAGTTCCTGCTGTACTTAGGGCATTTCTCAATACTTTGCTATCAGTTCACTCCAAGTGAATGCACATATAGTAACAATGACTTATAATCGCCCTCCCTAACACCTTTTATTTTCTTGCCAGTGTAGGAGAAAAATGAACTCACCCCAGATCAACAGAATCTTCTACATTATATTATGGATTCATATAGCAAACAGAGGATGCCTCAGGAAATCACAAATAAAATTGTATGTATAATATTTGAAAATATATTTCTTTAAAGTTAATGTTTTCTGGAGCTTTTATTACCTTGGATGTGAAATTTTTATATGGGTATGTTACTTGAAATAATTCAAACTAAAAATTTAAGTTCTATATTTAAACTTTTAGCAGCATTAAGCAATTAAAAAGGAAGAAGTCACACATCTATCTTGTTAATAGTAATTGCTCTCCAAAGATCTGAGAAATATGAGCTGGGTTTTAAAATTTTATTACCTCAATTTTGTTTTCCTTTAGTCTAATGATTTTATATTGATTTATCCTTTTTTCTATCTATTTATTAATCATTTGCTTTTTTCTTACAATTTAGTTAAAGGAAGAATTCAGTGCAGAAGAAAATTTTCTCATTTTAACAGAAATGGCTACCACTCATGTACAGATTCTTGTAGAATTCACAAAAAAACTTCCAGGTAGTATTTTTTAAATAATAAAAGTTAATATTTATTGAGTGTTTATTTGCCATAGATTATATTGATCACTTTACATATAATGGTTTGGTTTTTTTTTTTTTTTGAGTCTCAAACATTCCTGTGGGATCAGATCTTTTATCACTATTACTGTTGGCAGGTACCTTTACATGTAGTCACTTCTCTGCTATGCTGTATAATATTCTTGTGACACTGAGTGGGGCAGATATGTTCATTGTGTAATGAGAATCATCTCACATCCTATTCATATATAACCATTATAGACATGAAAAGTTAGAGTTATAAAGGATATTTAATATCACTTATAAAGATTCTTCCAAATCAATAGAAATTGGGACTTTGTAAAGTTGTCATTCATCCACTGATTCATCCAATAAGTAATTGTTGATACTTACTCTGTAAGTATCTAAATGCTTAGCTGCTTAGCTATTACCTTCAAGAAAAGTGGTTACAGGCTATTAAAACATGCGCACATACACGCATACATACAAAATTAGCTGTTAGAACATAGAGGGAATAGTTACTCATTGTGTCTGAGAAAGACAGGGAGACTTCAGAGAGAATTATATTTGTGTTGAATAGAAAACAAAGGAGGTTTTCAGTTGGCATGGAGAGGAGCTTTCCAAGTTGAGAGGTCTTATGAGAAGGTAATGAGGCAATAACAAGAACACGATTGTTAGAGATGGGAGAGAAAATTCAGTGTGACAATAGCATGATGTCTGTGATGGACTCCTTCATTTGACAGTAAAGCAAGTTGGTACAGATGACAAGGACCTAACTAAGGAATTTAATCCTTGTCCCCACTGGGTGATGAAGACATTTTGATGGCTTCTCATTTTGAAGAGAGGGAAATGATAAAATTTTTCTTGTACGAAGGTGGTTTTATCAGGGTCATAAAAGATGGATTTGAATAGGAAGGGATGGGAGCTGAGAGGACCAGCTAGTAGGCTATTGCACAAGACCTGTCAAGAGGGCTTGAAATAAAGCAATAACAGTGGGAGAGGGAAGAGGAACAAAATGAAGACAGATGCAAAATGACAGGACTTGGTGAACACTGTACATGTTAGGTAAAGGCTATCAACAGTCCTGTCTGTGATGCCAGCACAGGAACTAGAATGCACGAGTCTTATCTTCTAGCCTAAAATTCTTTCTGCTGCATTATCAGTGCCCTCTAATCTAATCAGTTGAAATTGTTCCAGTGTTTTAAATTAAGAAAAAATTTTTAGTGTATCAGAATCCCTGGTTTTAAAGAGTACAATAGATACCTTGCAAAACTCTGTAATGTAAATTACTGCTGGTCTGTCATAAGATTTTAATTTGGTATGTTAATTTGCCTTCTTTTTGTCAGCATTATGCTATTATTTTATTAAATGTGTCACAGGCAGAAATCTACATAAAACTAATAAAATGTGGGGAGAAAGTTCTTGCTATCATTGAAACATTTATATTCTCTCATTTCTTTGTTAGCAATGAAAGATAAACTTAATTTGCTATAGCTAATGAATTCAAAGGCAATCTTGATCAAAAAACAGGATTACATAAAAGTGAAAACTGTGTGCTGGGAGGAGCTGAGAAAAGGAAAGAAATGTGATATTTTTGGTTATTTATGGGAAAGGATTTTTCAGTTCAAATGGTCAGTTGATCTTGAATCAAGAAATAATTGAAGACAAAGAAATCTTATTCATACGAAGGTAGCTTACGTGAAAGCAATGGCTATATGTTAACATTTCTTCAAAATTCTCAGTGCCTAGCCTAGTTCCTGAGGGAGAGTACATTTAATGTATATTCAATGAGTAAAGCAGAAGGAAAACAATACAAATACAGGAGAAAATATGATGCAAAAAAATAAACCCTCAAGAAGGAAAAATTATTTAAAAACAATTGCAGAAATTACAATGTTATTATATTCAACAATATAACATCGATACTGAAAGGGTATTTTCAGAAGATTCCAGTTGAGTGTTTCCCTTTAGTTCCCTGAGCAGACCCTGTGTCAGGCTCTGTCCAGGGTGCTGGAGACCCAGAGGGGAGTAGAGCATGGCTCCTCCTCTCAAAGGAGCTCTTGGATACTCAAAGATAATAATGGCATGGTTTTTTTTTTGTTTTTTGTTTTTTTTTTTTTTTTTTTGGTGGTATGTGGGATTGAACAGCCCAGGGGTGCTCTATCACTGAGCTACATCACCAGTCCTCTTAATTTTTATTTTGAATCAGGGTCTCATTAAATTGGTCAGACTGACCTTAAACTTTTAATCTTTCTGCCTTAGCCTCCCCAATCACTGGAATTACAGTGTACGTGGCAGGATAATGACTCTTAATCATTAGCATTGCTGTCTTCTTTAAATTTTGATTGCAGTTTAATTCCTTCCTAAGCCATGTAGATCCTAATGGTATTAATTACCTCTATTAATGTGTGTGTGCACGTGTGTGTGTGTGTGTGTGTGTGTGTACCAGCATGAACACAAATTTGTGTTTTTCCCTCTTTGATTCAATCATTCAATTATCCAACAAATAATTTTCAGGTACCTATGATGTGCCAGACATTGTGGATACAACAGTAATAAAACAGACAAAAATCTGTGCCCAGAGAAGTTTATACTCCAATAGACATGGCAGACAATGAACAAATAAGCAAATAAACCTATAATATCATGTTGGGTGGTGGTAAGTTCTATGAACAGATATAAACCGGGTAGGGATTAGTGAGTGCTGGGGAGACGATTTTAGTAGGGTACCCTTAAAACAGAGATCTGATGGCACTGAGGAAGTAGAGCATGGATATATCAGGGAAGAGCATTCATCCCCCAGCAAATGCAGGCTCATGGGTTCATAGCAGAACCAGGTTGTCAGTGTGGCTGATGCACAAAGAATGAAGGAAGAAGAAGAGAATGAGGTCATCGAGGGTGTTGGGACTTTACACACATGCCTGGATAAAGACTTTGCATTTTCCAGGTGGTTTTATATGCCTTCAGGCTGGTGATTTGTTCCTATATTTGTCTGTTTTCCTCTACTTTGTATGATAAGTCTTAAACTCAGAGAAGATACCTAAATTTGACTCTGATAGAATTTTGGTGGAGGAATGCTACTCGTTCTCTAAATTTTGACTAAAGACCCATGAATTGGCTGAATATTCTGGATACGAATTAACATTTTTTTTTCTAGCTGTGGATGCTTTCATTCTTCAGAGTTGACACTGCACAAGTAAACTAATGACTCAAAGATAATCTGCCAGCCTCTTGTTTCTCAGGGTTGCCTCATTTGAATTGGTCTGTCTCAGCCAGGTATTTGGCATGGTCTTGACAATTCTTTTTGCTTAACTTGTCCAATAAATCCTACTTAATGAAGATAAAAGTCAGCTTCTATTTTGGGGAGTACAAAAAATACTCAGTGGACTCAAGCTAAATATCCAATCACAAAACAATTATAAAATTGCTTTATAGAAATGTTTTATCAACAGTGATGGTGGTGATAAAATCTTAATATACATATAAAATGTGAAATATTATACAAACAACTCCTTGATTCTGATTTGATTATCATCTATACTCAGGATTTCAGACTTTGGACCATGAAGACCAAATTGCTTTGCTAAAAGGGTCTGCGGTTGAAGCTATGTTCCTCCGGTCAGCTGAGATTTTCAATAAGAAACTGCCAGCTGGACATGCTGACCTATTGGAAGAAAGAATTCGGAAGAGTGGTAAGTGATTTGATTAATGGTAAAGAGTTTGTTTATGCAACTAAACATTGGTATACCCCAGGAAGGTAGGCTCTTATCTGCCTTATGCAACATTATATGTCCATCATGCCTAGCATGAAGAATGGCATTAATAGATGGGTCTTTTGGAGTCTTGGTTCAAAAATCTGTTTTGTAATAGCAAAATACTAAAAATTTTCTCTTTACTGCATTAAGATGAGATGTTAAAGGAAGCCTTTTGAAAAGACTGAAAAATTAGTCTGATTAAAAAAATAACACAGAGGAGCTGAATTTATTCATTACAGAAATATTTATTTATTCAAAAATTTCAGGTGAAATAGACTAGATTCCAGCTACTATTATCCAATTATCTGTCACTATTCAAAATAAAATAAGAAGCATTTTCAATGGCAATTTTTATATATCATTTACTGGGTTCCAGATTCTGTTCTAAATACTTTTCATATGATTTCATTATTTTTTTATAAAACCCTCTGATATAAGTACTATTATTGTTTCTGTTTTTACAGATGAGGAAACTGAGATAGAGAGAAGTTAAATAACTTTCCCAGAGATGGATAGGAAATCTGACTTCAGAAGTCATGTGTCTTTTTCTTTTTCTTTTTGCAATGGCAGAAGTTAAACTCAGGTCCTTGCATGTGCAAGCAAGCCATGCATCTTAATATCTGTATTGCACTACCTTTCAAGAGATGAAAAGAAATAATAGCACATGTAATTCAGTTTAACTTATTATGTAGTAATACTGTAACAGAGAGGATCAAGAAATATTGAGATGAGTTTCTAGAAATTCTGAACAATTTGTCTTAGGAGAACCTTAAAATATAATATGTTCTTATTTTCCTTAAGGACTTTATGTCTGAGTTGGGGGAGGAGGGCAAATGAGATGAGATGACTTCTCACAATCTTATCATTCTGTGATTGGTTGGAATAAGTTTAAAGACTTTTGAAAGTATTTTAGAATAGAGATTGGAATGAGTGTTCAGACTATTCTGCATCTGTGATATAGTGATATAAATAAGCTAATTGAAGTATCGAAAATTATTTTTTTTAAAGCTGTCTTTCCATAGTCATTATGTTTTCTCCTCTTGGTCAAAAACTGAAAATTAAAAAAAAATCCCTGTTCTGTGTTACTAAACATACACAAAACAAAACAAAATCTAGAAGTAGAATTACATCACCAGTAGAGTTTTTAAAAACATACCTTTTAAAGATGCATTGTTCTTACACATCCATTGATGTATTGGTTTAACAAATATTGAAGGGCAAGGTACCAAGGTGGCAGTGAAGAGAAGAGTTGAACATATTGCTTCTCTATGAAGTTTATCATCTAGTGGAAAGAGATGAACCACATATAGTTAAAACAGAATGTGAAAGAGAAGAGCTGAGAGAGAATTACTTCTAGTTGAGAAGATTTCTAGCCTGGAAAGGTTTCCTTAGCACTTAAGCAAGGCCTTGAATGAAATTTGATTTGGATGACCAGGGTGGAAACTGAGGAGAGAAGGACCAGTGTGGGTAAAGGAGTTGAGGCTAGAAAGCTCTCAGGATATGTGCATGCAGAAGAGGGAGATGCTGAGTTGGTTGGATGAAGGGTAACAGTGAAAAAAACAAGAAGGGGAGAGGGAGGCAAAATCAGAGGGTTGAGGGATTTGAATGTTGAGCTAAACATTTTGTTATTTTCTAAGTCATGGGGAGACGTTTAATTTTTTTTTTAGCAGAGGGAGAATTCAGAACCAAGTTTTACAAGTCTTCTAGCAGTGCTAGTATAGATTGGGAGACACTTGTAAGGAGGCAAGAGGTTTGAAGGGTCTGACCCTGATGCTAGGAAAAAAGGAGAGAAGGGAACAGATCTGAGGGATATAGTGTCTCATCTTTTCACCCTTTGTGTTGTCAAGAAACATAGATTGTAGTCCATATTTCTAAAGTGTAGATTAAGGCCCAGAACAGGTAGGAGATAAAAAATCTATCAGATTTTATTTGCCAAATAAATGTCAAGTGATAGATGTTATTACCTATTTGTACTGGATCTTAATTTAAGTGTGTGTGTGTGTGTGTGTGTGTGTGTGTGTGTGTGTGTGTGTGTCCAGGCTAAGGGGAAGGGGTTGAATCAGCTAACCTCCAGGACACCATTCTGTTCTATATTTCTTACCACTTTTCTTCTCTTAAACAATTCAATTTTTCTGATTGGTAGTTGACCAACTATTTAAGCATCCTGATTTTAAAGCTGCAATCAGTTATAGACAGTTCAACCTAGGAAGGAATTAAAGGATATGAGCTGAATTTTCATGTGTATGAACTTCAGTATTAGTTTAGGCTACTGAATATAAATAGATGATTTCTCTTTTGTAGAAAACTGTGACTTTCACCTGTGATGGATAAAAACCTCATTTGCTTAACTCAGCCATTTATTAGGTTCTGGCTTCCATGGACTGTGGCAGGGCTCTCTTTTAAAAAAATCCATGAGTCAAATCTAAGTTATAAGTTAAACAATAATGGATGATGACTAATGTGGGAAAATATTACTCATTTTATACAGAGGCCTCTTCAACTCTCAAAGGATCCTGTTACAGTTAATGTGTGTTTGGATTCCAGAGATGATGGTGATTACGAATACTGACTGGTATCTGGCTTGAATCTAAGCTCCAATACTTATTTATTGTGTTCCCCCCACCCAACACACTTTTCCTTAAAGTTATTGAATTAGACCCTGTAACTATTTGATCTTTTTGAAGTCATGTCTAACTGTATTATTTGTTCTTCACCTTGCCTTTGTTTTGATATTACAAACTTCATAAGGCAAGATCTGCCTCTTCTTGAGTCAGTATTTTATCCCAGGCACCTAACACATGCTTTCCTGAATAGGTGYGCAGCAAATATCCCTTGAATGAAAGAGTGAATGAATGAATGAGTGAGTGGAGACTTGTCTGCAGCTGCCTGGTCCATTCATTTAATTTTCAAGTGGTTCTTCCCTTAGGATCAAAGATACTGATATCCCAGACTGACAACTAAATAATAAAAAGTCCTTTTTTTCCAGACCTTTCCTGTAGCAATTTTGGGGATAGATACCTCTTTTGCATTTGAGTGTAAGCAAAAGAAAGTGTTTGGGCACAGGAGCTCTCTGTGTTCTCTCTTTCCTCCTCTTCTAAAATGAGTCACTGAAACTTGATTCAGGTGCCAGGCAATGAACATGGGTATAATTTCTGCCGTACGAACGGAAGTGGTTTGATGAGAGGGCATCTGACGGGGAATTATCCAGCAGCTTTTTCATCACTCTCTCTTCTGGGTGCTCAGCTCCATTTTCTTTTCTTTGCCTGTTCCTGTCAGATCTTTTGGCTCCTGAGCTAAGTCAGGGGGTGCCATTTCTTTCTTTCTTTTTTTTTTTTCAACATTTGTTTTAGTTGTAGGTGGACGCGATAACCTTTATTTTTTTTATGTGGTGCTGAGGATCAAACCCAGTGCCTCACGCATGCTAGGCCAGCGCTCTACCGCTGAGCCACAACCCCAGTCCAGGTGGTGCCATTGCTATAATGACCTCCGAGGGGACTGGGTTCCTTCCCCCACTCAGCTGAGGTGGGGAAAATCTCTCCCACGGTGACTGAACTGAGAGCAGCGGCGGCAGCAGCAGCAACAACAATAACAACACAGTTTTCCAAAAAGCTTTACTGAGATACTTAGAGATGTTTACAAAAGGTATCCTTCAATAATGAATGGATCCGTTAATTATAGTGCTAAAAGAAAATAATCATTCAGCACCTACTATATGTCGGACTTTATTCTAGATGTGTGACCTCTGGGTCCTACAAGAAGCTGATCGCACTTGTGATGCTCAGTCACGGGCTGGGAGGAGACTGGTGTCAGTGTGTCCTAAAGGTCACGGGGGCACCAGCTGAAGGTCATCATTCTACAGTGCTCCTACTATGAGCTCCTCAAGGGAGAACTGAGTGGGGCATCTCCATGGCCAATGTCATGCTTCACAACAACATCTAACTGGCTCTTCATAACATTTGGAGGCAGGATATTATGAATCCTCTTACAGACCTAGATCCTGTTTATACCAATTACTTCCTTCCTTCAAAATCTCCATCCTAGCCATTTTTTTCCCCTCTGACATTATCCTTAACTCTCAGCTCATTGTTTTTACTGATTCAATAATATCTCGCTCCCAAACAACCTCCATTCAGTGACTGTCCATCTACCGACCCCCCAGCCATTGACTCTGACCTCACTTGCTTCAGGACCTTAAGATGAGGATTCATGGTCCATCAATCTGATCACTTCCTTAGGCCATTCACTGGATATCCTCAACTCCTTGCCTTTTTGTCCCCATCCCTGACTGAACACAACTCTCCACCTACTCTGCCTGGAGCTGAGAACTGTGGCAACATGATTTGGCTTGCTTTACGTCACTGATCACACCCTTCAAGTGTGTGTCCATTTATTCCTCTTCTCTAGGCAATTCACTCCAGTTGTCCTGGGAGCTGCCACCTTATACTTTCTCTCTTTTCAGACTCCCAGCATTCCTCCCTCTCCATTCTCAACTGATGACCTTGCTGGGAGAAGGTAGATTTAAGAAGAGGCCAAAGGAATTTGGTCTCATGGAAGTTCTGTCATGCTTAAAGGGAAAGGGAATCCCCAGCTTCATCAATATGTCAGAATGGGGATTAGATGCAGCATAGGGATCCCCAGAGGTTCCCGAGTCTGGGCCAGGGATGAGCCTACTGTGAACATGGAGTGGTTCTAGCTATGAAGACACAAAAGCTTCAAGGACTAAGGTCAGGCAGGTGTTTCTATCTAGGCTTCTTTGAATTCTGGCTACCCAGTGTTTCTGGAGCTTCTCTCCAGTATATCAGCAGGAAAAAAATAATTATCCTATTCCTCCCTTTATCAAATTGAGTGCTTTTCAAAGACCTAGTCTTTTTTTTTAATTATTTGTTAATTTTAGTTACACATGGCGGTATAATGTACTTTGACATATCATACGTTCA